GAACTGGGCTCGGACCAAGATTTGTAATAAAAGTGCTTTGAGGCACTTTAAACCTTCCCTGAAAGGCGACCAATGATCCCTGCCAAATGTAGGTAGCTTGTAGGCAAAATGTGTTAGTGCTGGCATCCGTCAGGTAGTGCCAGGTGTGGTGGGGATTAATGACACAGGAGCAGTGGAAGGCCAGTCCTGACCTTTGCATGCAGCTTTATGAGTGATTTGGGTTGATGTAAATGGGTTTATGAGTGGTTTGGGTTGATGCACGTTGGTTAATGGGTTGATTTAGGCACTGCCGTCCTGGCACTCCAAGGTGCATTCTCTCAGCCCTAGGCATGGAGGGCAGGTAGGAGGGCAGATGCAACAGGGACTTTCTTTTCCCTACACCACTACATCACTAAGTTCAGGTGGTGACTTCTGTTTCAACATCTACCTATTTATATCTGCTGCATGGTTTAGGATGAAATTTGTTTCCTTTGCTGGCAGGTTAACCTCCTTTCTGGGCTCTGTCTGCAGCATCCCAGCAGCACTTTCTACAGCACTAACTTACAATGTCAAGCCTCCTTTCTCCACAGCAACAGGATAAGGGTCAACCACCCTCATCCAGGTTAATGGGAATTTTGTTTACCTTTCCAGAGCACCTCAAACTGACAATATGAGGAGAAAACCACATGGATTAGAGTCTCCCCTGAGGCATATCCTAAGGGGCATGTGGTTGGGAGGTATTGACAGGACTTGGCTTGCACTTGGCCACCTTGGTTTGGGTAGAGGTCTTTGCTTTGCCTGTGCCATCCTGTTTCAGTATGGAAATACCCCAATTAGAGCAGGGATGATGAACAGGAATCATGGGGGCCACCACCAGCCATTTTACGTGGCCATGGAAATACTGAAGGGCCAGCCCGAGCAGGACTATTTCGGTTCATGTAGGACACTGGGAGATGGAGGTGAGGTGCTCACCTGAGCCTGGCGAGAGTTGTCATGCAAATGTGGTTGCATTTGTCTACAAAGAGACACTTCCAATAAAAAGGGCCAGCATGAGTTTTCATCAGGATAAAGCCAAAATAATACCACCACTCTCAGTGGAGACAAACAGCAGAGCATGAGCCACCTCACAGTAGAAAATATGCAAGCATGATGGCCAGGGCTTCCTCATCCCAGGTTGATGCAGTCCTTTGGGGTCCATCCCGTCTTGCATTTTGCCTGGGCTTGGTCTGGTCATGGCTGGAATTCAAACTGGGGCATCACCACCGTGGGGTTCTCTGCCTGGAGGAGGCTGGTCATTCATGCAGGGGCTCTGCACTGATTGCTCGCCCCATGCTTTATCTCCTTGATGCTTAATGAGCCTGAGAGAAGCGGGAACTGGTGATTGACATGAAGGGGACAGGGATGTTTTCAGAGGCCCAGGCACCTAGTGAGCTGTGTCCTTTTGCAGTGTGTCTGTCTCGTGGTGTTCTCACGCTCAGTGTTCAAGGGTAGAAATGGTAGGAAAGGTCCTACTGCTCCTCTGCTGCTCCCCAGCAGAAAACCCTTGACAGAAAGAAGAATCTGGCTCTACGGGACAGATTATTACACATGGTATTTTTGAATCTTTGTAGACAGCCTTTCAACCCCTGGCAACTTAAGCTGATATAAAGCCTGGCTTGAAGATGTTTGGATTTAGAGGTGTCTGTGCAGGGCAGGGCTGCTCATGCAAGAAGGACTTGCAAGGACATTTATTTAACAAGCAGGTAGATGGTGACTGCTGCTGTGAATCCTGAGCAATACTTCGAAGAAATCTGGCAGTTATTGTCATGTTCATAAGATGATCCTCACCTTGGTCCTCATCTTTGGTATCTCCTTGGCTGCTAAATTCCCTCAGCAATTTTTAGGTCAGAAATAGGAGGAAATGCTAATGACCTTCACCTACTGCAGCTGGCATCCGAGCAGTGGGTGTGGTGTGTGCATTAATGGGATGCAGTGTTTTTGTCCAGGCGACATTACTGGTTTGGTGTGTGACTTCTGCTTTAATGTGGCATTCAGCGTCTGGGAAAAACACAAAGAAATCTCACTGTCCTCTCAGCATCCCCTTTGCCTAATGAACATCATCTCCCCTCTGTCCCATGGTGGGCCATGGTTAGCCAAGTTCCTGCAAATCGGCCTACGTGGGGCTGCATTACAAGTGCTCCTGTGTCCTCCCATCCAAGAGCTGGAGCTGGCGGCCAGTGCCAACTGGGAGCAAAGGCTTTGGCTCCGTTGACCCCGGGGAGGTGACAGCACGAGGGCTGTCTTGCTTTTCCAGCATGACAACAAACATCATTACCTTGTTTTCGGCAGAGGAGAGCGATCGCTCGGCATGTTTGCTGGGGAGGAGTGAAGCAAGGTCAGTGCCGTACCTCAGCCGACCCCGTCTGCGAGCCTGGCCAAGAAAGCAGAGTGTCACCTCTGCTACGGTGTTCAAATTCATGTTTGCCACCTTTTGGTAAAAATTTACCCTTGTTATTGTCAGAGTTGTTTGGTGGAGGTGGGCTGGGCAGCACGGGGCAGTGGTAGGGATGCCACTCCTCTCACCTCCCCTGACCTCCTGTTGGGATGCAAAAGCATTCACACAGCCTCTTGCAGAGGCTTGTTCACTTAAACCAAGGAAAACATATATATATATATACACATATATATATATTTTAAGGGCTATCCGGCCTGCATTTACTGGAAGGCAGTGGTAGGGTGGGAATAGCAGCGAATGTTTAAGAAAAGTGAATTTAGGAATTTGTAAACGAAGCAACTTGATCCCAAGGGTTAATGTTTCCCTAATCAGGGGGACAAACAATATTGCATAACCTGAAGCTCCAATCGCAACCTGATGATGCTGCCCTGCTTGTGATTTACGTATTTGTAGCAAATTCCTTATCTATCAACAGGAATTGAAAGCAAAAAAAAAAAAAAAAAGGTAAATAAAGACTAACAGCAGTATTGTATTCCTTACTCTCCCTGCAGACCTTCCCTTACTGATAATTATTAACTCTCACAAACTGAGAGCCACTGCAGAACTCGTGAGTAAAATACGATAGTGTTTCTGAAGTAAAACATGCTTGGTGAACTTTGGACGCTGCTCAAAGACAGAAATGCCCACAGCATTTCCCTGGCTCCTGGCTATATGGTGCAGCCGGAGTGGGGACAACCCCAAGTTGTCCCCATCAGTCTTGCTCAAAACTCAGATAGGAGAATTGCAGCATGGCCTCATACAAAACCTGCAGTTCCCCTCACTTGCTGGTTCTTGAAAGCAAACACACTTTAAACTCAACCCTTTGACATGGGTGCTGTGGTCCGTGATCTCACCCCTCTCCCTGTTATAAGATAAGAAGATGTCCTTAATTTATGTAGCAAAAGACAGGGTTAAAAACTGTGCTTTAATAAAGGAATACAAATGGCAATCTAAAAATGTATTTTATTAGGCTGCTAATAATGACCAGCGGTGATGGTGGTGGGGTGAGCAGCATAGTGAGCTCGTGGGAGGGGGCCTGGACACAGTTGTCCCCCTCGTGTCCCAGAAATTGGGTAGAAGACATCTCAAGCACCCTCACTGGGAGCTCGGCCATCCTTGCCTGGGCCAGGAGACTTGGCAGCGAGCAGACCGTCGCTGCACAGCCTGGTTTTCCCCAAAACCCAGACCCTGCTCCCATGAGCTCAGGTTTTGCAAACAGGCTCCCCAGCTCGGCGTTCATCCGCCAGTTGCTCAGCTTGGGAAATAAACGGGCAGGCACTGAGGAGTTCAAGTTTTGTATTCACGTCAGTAAAACAGAGACTATTCCTCTCCCGTCCCCTCCCCTGCCCACCCCAGCGCCCGGCAATGCCCAGCCGGATTCAGACCAGGGTTGAGCTGGACACCCAAGAACCTGATCTACGCTGATGTAGCCAGGATGTGAATCTGGCCTCACAAATAACCTTTCCCCTTGAGTGGGAAACAAAATATGTTAATCTGCTTGGTTTGGAAACCCTTTTTTTTTCTTTTACTTGAACACAGAGCTCTGTCCCCTCATCATTAGCAGATGTCCTGCATACAAACTGCATTACCTATAAAGTCTGCTTACTCCAAGCAAATGTTTCTCAATCTTTTTTTTTTTTTTTTTTTTTACTTCAATTTGAAGTGAAAGGTACAGTATAGGATTCAAATGCTTTTGCATTACATGGGTTTCTGACCACCTGAAAAACCCCACAGAAACGACGACTTCACACACCTGAAACGCCTGCTGAATCCTTTTGCTGCATTTCATTCTGCCTGGCTCAACTTCCTTTTGATTTCCTTCTTTTTTTTTTGGCTTTACATGGCACTTAGCTTTTGCTTATTTAATTTTATTTATTTAATAATAATTAAAAAAAAATCATAGCTCCTGTTTCAGCTCTCACTTCGTGTCAGTATTCTACCCTGTGGATGAGTTGCACAGGCAGGAACGTCAGGAAATTGCCCAAAAGGCAGAGCTAGGGAGTAGCTCAAAGAAAGATGCAAACCTGAATGCCGAAGCACGATTTGTGTTGTCCCAGCTCTTGCCCGCACTGAACACTGGCTCCAGGGCTGCAGGCAGAGAAGTGCGGGCAGGAGAAATAAGAGGCGACTCACAGAAGGATTCAGAAATTCGGATTTGTCACCGACAGCTGGCTGGCCGGCTTGCCACCATCTGAATGGCACCTCTGATTTTTCTTTGGCTCAAAGATTTAACGTTAAGGCAAAAATAAGACACAGTGTAGAAGCTCCATCAAATCTTTGGCACAACAGCAACAACAACAACAAAAAATTACTGTACACATGAGCTGAGAGGATAACATTTCCCAGTTAAGCAAAGGGAAAAGTGCTAAATAAATTGCACGTACTAAAAGGTGGCTGGCTTAACAACAATAAGAAGCATCCCTGTCCTTTTTTTTTTTTTTTTTTTTTTTTT